CCCACTCCAAGAGCTTCTGCTCTCCCCGTGGAAGGTTTTTCTCAACTGCTCGTCTTCCTGTTATGAGCTCATACAGAACCACACCAAAACTCCATACATCACTCTTGATTGTTAATTTTCCAGTAAGGACATACTCAGGTGCTGCATAACCCACTGTTCCTACAACCTACACAGTTGATTGTGTTAGAAGGCTTAACAGTTGAAACATCCTAATCCCAAGAAATTGAAGTTAGGTAACTCAAGCTCCATAACTTAGGTATCTGAGCTGGATGGTTTACAATGATTAATTCCAGTATCCAGGTCATCAAAATCATTACTACGTAAACTACTAGCAAACACCCCTTATAGTAAGACATTTCAGAAATAACACATATAGGTTTCCAACCATACAACTACTAGAGAGAGGTAGATGACTATGTTGACAGTTTAAGCTCTTCTATTCAAATATCTGAGTCTGAAAATCAACAGATTAATAAAAATAGGCTCAGTCACTTAGAGAACGAGACTAGGAAAAGGATTCAACGATATGCTCCACTGTTCCAGAATCTCAATTTCATTAACAATATGTAATAAGCCCTTGAAAAATGACATATTTCAAAAAATAACCAACTGAAGGCTTCCAAATAATGTAATATGAAGATGTTGCATTGGCGATGCCTTGAGCAAATTAGCATTTATATTTGACCAAGCATTAAAATATAACATCTTAGCTAACATCCAGTAATACAATACTTGTCAAATTATGTAGGCCCCAGAGCATAGGCTTACAAGATTAGTTAATGGACTTACCGCAGTTGAAATATGACTATATCCCTCTGCCGGCCCCAGCCTAGCAAGTCCAAAATCTGAGAGTTTGGCATTAAAGTCTTCATCCAATAAAACATTTGATGTTTTAAAATCTCGAAATATTAGCTGCATGAAGCCGATTACCAAACATAATCAACATCAGATTCTTTATGAATGATTGTGAAGAACGTGAAGGCATATATTAATTTTTTAAGAAAATGAAGCTGCAAAGTACCAACCATGTCATACTCACCACCAAACATGAAGATTTAAAATATTCCATCAGTCACCATTGGTAACTTGGGTGAACAACTTTCTCAAACCAATGATAGCAATATCTGTGACTGTAAAGAATTTTCCATATAATAACCCATCTAGTCAAGTAGATCTAAGATTTCTAGAATGGGAACAAAAAAGATAAATGCGACAATTAAGAACATATGCACTTCCACCACATCATTTTTTTCTATTAAATGTTTTAATCTTGGCATAATTTGGGGGGTAAGGCCTCACCCCGACTCCCTGCACGGCTGCACCAGCTAGATCTCTTAATGTGCCACAACTCTGGTTAGCCCATGTACCATATCGTATCATCAACAACTGATTCTAGCTTTAACTTCTCTTTCCCCACAATGGTCAAACACTTCAGACAATAAACAGTTGAAATCTCTCACATGTTCTTAAAGATCAAAACATGGTATGGTAAAGAACATAAAATTTAAAGGCAAATTCAGTTAGTTATGAGCGTTTCTTGCAGAGAATGGAGCATCTGCCCATCTAATTGATACAGGTCAGCAACATCTTTGTCAAGCACATGGAAACGGAATAGCTAGAGAAGTATTCTAAACAATCTAAACAACTTAGTCAAGGAAATTGAACTTTTAAAAGTCAACCAACTCAACCATATTAAACTCAATTAGCATAAATCTGCAGGCAGCATCTAAACAAGAGCAGAGAGGAGAGCCTGCCTTTTGTCTATTACAGACATTACAGTTAATAATCGTGTGAGATTTATCAGCCATCACTGACAGCCAAAAAGCATTAAGCAATTAAACCATCAAGATGCTGGACTCTATTAAGATATTCCAATGATAAAAACAAAATTCATGAAAAGGGTATAAAACTAAGATTTGGTACCTGAAAATCCATTTCCTCATGCAAATACGCCAATCCACGAGCTGCATCCTGCGCAATTTTCAGTCTCGTCATCCATGGCAAGGGTGATGGCACCCGACCCAACAGATGATCCTCCAGGCTTTTGTTCTTCATGAGTTCATACACCAAAAGCCTTTGCATTCCCCTTTCATCATCTTCGGCACAATATCCAACTAATTTGACAAGATTCGGGTGCTTAATTACGCCTAACCAATTCACTTCATTGATCCACTCTTTATGCCCCTGCTAACTAGAATGGTAAATCAAAGCAACCCCATAAAAGGCACACCATGTTAGACATCACATACATCAATACACTTTACACATAAAAATGACTCAAATCTCAAGTCACAAGGAAAATTAATCGCAAATAAACACTGAAAATTGAAATTTGAACCCAACATTCAGCTACTCCTCCAACACACAATTATTCTGTATGAAAGATACAAATTTTGGTGGAACAAGTTATTTCATCACAAATTAACCGGTCAATAATCCACCTAGAACAATACCCAAATAAACAAAAAAAAAAAACTAAAAAAAACTAATGAACAAGTCCAAGTCCCAAATTCGTACATTTCCTCTTGGGCTTCCAACTGAGCCAACATCTCCATTTTCTTCTCCCTAGACAAACACAATACCTTTATTCCCACTCCTAACCCCCATAAAATTAAATTAATCAAATGATTTATCTTCTTGTTGAGTGTATTCTAAGTTAAGACATAGAATAATAGCAATAATGATGTTCCCAAATAAACATAATCACTCAAAATTTACACATTCACCATTTTCTCAATTGAAAATATAAAACATACTCCGTATACAAAAAAACGCTACAAGTATACTCCGTAACATTAATTACACCAACGGACACGTGATTGTATGAATTCAAAAATCAACACCAACGCATATTTTTGCAATTAAACTTTCCAAAACTCTAAATAACACATTTACTGCATAAATTAACAATGCATTTCAAAATAAATTGAAATTAATAAATCAAAATAAGAAAGGAGATGAGATAACATGCCTGGGAACCATAACGATTAAGCTGCTTAACAGCAACATCAATCTTGCAATTCACAGAATCATCAAACTCAAAATCATCGCAATCAAAAGCCCTAACATTATCAACAACACCTTTATAAACACACCCAAATCCTCCTTCACCAATCAACAATCCTCGACTAAACCCACGAGTCGCCGATTTCAACTCAGCAAAAGTAAACGCTTTCAGATCGTTACAAACTCGGCGATTCTGAGCCAAGAGAGAGAAAAATCCAGCTGACTCGCCGGAAAACTCCGAGTCTCCGGCGAACTCCGACCGCCGTACTTCGGTGGTACTTGAACTAGTAGTACTACTAGCTATACTCAAAGAACGAGCCCATGAAACTCTCGCTCTTACTGATGAAACGACGTCGTCTTCTCCTTCTTCGGATCTTCTTTCACCATTTGTAAAATGGAAGCACTTCATTATTATTAAAGTTTTAATCTTTATTAATTTATTTGATGAATTTTGTTGAGCTGAAAAATGAAAAAATGGGGAAGAAGAAGAAAAAGAGGAGAGAGAAAAAGGAAGAGAGAGGGTGGTTGAAGAGTGGAGGTGAGGGGATCAACTAACATTGGATGTTTTAATGCAGAGATTAATAAAATAGTGATTCATAATTAATTGGAATAATAATTATAATTAACAAACCTTAATAATTAAGGAAATATGAGTAGTGTATTAATAATGTCAGATGATTTTTAGTTTAAAAGAATATAATGCGGAATTTGAGTAAAAAAAAGATGGGTTTTTTTATTTTTTGAAAAAAAAAAGAAGGAATTGAAAAGATCACGAGGGTGCAGAGAGAAAGAGGAGAGGAGGAGGATGAAGGAGAGAAGTAGGCAAACAATGTCAGATGTTACCGAACGGATCCTTGTGGTAGGACCTATCTATGTGGCCCGGCAGTTATATTGGGTTTTGGGTATATTCTCCATTTTCTTTTCGAACTACTTTCTCCGTTTCTTTTTGTTTGTCCTGTGTAATTCATATGCAGTACTTTGAATGATTCTTTAAAGATTGTCGAATCGTATTTCATCTCTTATACTAGTAGAATACTTCATTAATAACATTTCTCTAATCTCTATTGTTTATCTCAGTAATATACACTGAGAAACTGTCATTCAATTGCATAATTTTGGTTTTAATCTTAATAAAAAGTACAATTTGGCCATATGAGGCAAACGAAGAGAGATAAAAGGGAGTGTTTTTAAAAAAAACATATATGTAATCATATTGAAATTTTCTACTTTGATGTCTTTAGGCATGACAATTTGGCAAAATGATGTAGTACTTTGGAGACTCGGCCATAAAAACTTAAAAAAAATTACAAAGTACTTTGGTGACTAGTGTTTATCATACATTAATACTAGTATTACTTATTTGAGATTGCAACTATTAAATGCAATGTTACTGTAGTGTTGCTTACACATATGTTATTTTTTTTTTTTTTTTTTTTTTTTTTTGTTATTAGTTGATGATGATGTAACATGTCTTAAAATCAAAATAAACCTTTATACAAATTTATTATCTGTGTCACAACTTAATATTGATTTGTGACACTTGAGAAACAATATCCATACAATTGTTCATCTACAAGTACATCCTATATTTAAGTTACTCTACAATTATCCTACTAGCCTTCAAATTGATATGCCATATGCTCCAATGACGAACAATTATCCTATTAGCCTTCACATTGATATGTCATATGCTCCAATGACAAAATGGATATTCGCAATAAAGGGTTTAACTTTTAACTTTGTTAGATTATCAGTATCACCACAATAAACCATTAAAGTTGCGCATTACCAAACATACACGGTGAAGATGAAATCCATGACACGAACATAATAAGTTGGCAATCTTGGCATGTCAAATTGAGAGAAGTTGAGCCATTCAAATTGGGCTCCCCTTCAATTTAAAAGAGTGCCAACATTGGTTTTGGACTGAGTATCATCAACACCAACTTCTATATCTAGCCCAAAATGACTTGACCATTTTACAATTTAAAGACTTCTTTGATTAGACTCCAATAACACGTGTCAAATGAACATTTGTCCAAAAACTTTCCATTTTCTGCAACAAAACACTCACACCTCCCGCTCAAAAAAACAGCCTCTGTTCCGTTTCCACTTCTGATCACACACCCCGCCTCGTCACCACCTTCCTCACACTCTCTGTACGATATTCCTCCATTTTCTCTCTCCTCTCTTTACAAAAAACACTACTCATTTTTTCTTTTCTCTATCATACAAAAAATCTGGGTTATTTTTATACCAAAGTTCGTAAATTTATCTACCTTTCTTCTAAACATTTTAGGGTTTTTCTCCGCTCTCCATTTCTCGTCAAATCACAGTGGTAAGTTTCAAAAAATCTGAACTTTTGCTCATTTTATTACATGGGTGTTGTTGGGGTTTTTGGTTTTCCTATAATTTCACAATTTTTTCTCTATTTAATCGCTTTTTATTTTTATTTTTAAATTTTTTGCTTAGTTTTCCGGTTTGAAGGCCGAAGCTCCGCCGCCGGAATCGTCGCCGCTACCAGAAGCCGTCCAAAGCACTGCAACCACAGTCAACAGAGGTAACACTCGAACCCCTCTTATCACTATCTCTCCTCCCTCACATTTTATTTAATAACTCTGCCAAATAAGGAAATTTTCTTTGTATTTTTGGTTATATTACATTTCATTGCTAGAAGTTTGTGGGTTTATGCAATATAAACTAAGTTAGTAGTATGTGTTTCTTGTAATTTGATTAATTATTTCACATTATGTATGGATTTTGTTTATAATCTTTAAAATAAGATAAAAAGATGCATATTGGGCGCAGATTATTTTATGTTCCGCAGAAATGTGTGTGCGCTGAAATAAGTAAAAAGTATTAAAAAAAAAAAAAAAAAGTAAATTTTTATGTTTAATGAACTTCAAATTCTTATATCACTGGTTGTGTGTTGTTTTTGTGCTTCCAGTACAAGCATTTACTGCGGATAGAACATCATTTGAATGCGAAAATGTCACGAAAGGTATCTTCTGTCTTACTATTCTGCAATTATCATGCATTTTAATAAGTAAGTTATAAGTTAGACATTATATCCTTGTGGTTTTTATATATGATGTTTAATGGTTTTTGTTCAAGTCCCTGAGTTGTATGATTACTGCATGATTAAAACTGATACTTGTAGTCGTGATTGTTTAGTACTCCTAGTTGGTACTACATGTCAATATACTACTTGTGTTGGAGTAGGTTTAACTTGTGAGGGTGTAATTATGGTGTTTGTGTGTTATAGTTGCTGGGAACTCAAGTGAACTTTTCTTTTAATGAAAAATTATTGTTTAGTTTACGGGGTTTTCACTTCTTGTTCTACCTGCATTTGGATATCAATGCTTTACTCTGTAACAGTTGTAGCATGTATGTGCTGCATATTAGGCTGAATTTGTTGTTTTGCTCTACTGCTGTCATTACTCATAACTTATAGTCTGTAGAATACTTGTGAACATTTGAAATATTGGTACTTGGAAAGTTCTTAACCTTGATTGCTTCATCAGCAGCTCCTAATACTATTTCTTCTTACCTAGAGTAAGGAGTAGTTTTTGTGGTTCTATGGAGCTAACTTAATGTTTTATTTTGTTTCTCTTGGTTTTTGGTATTGTGATCGATCTGATGGCTTTTTCATCAGAAGATGAAGCACTCAAATTCTGATATAAGTGAATCAGAACTAGATGATTATATAGATGATGTCTACTATCGATTGAAGAAAGATAGGTATGAAGTTAAGTTATCAAAGAATACATTCAGGTGTCCTTTTTGTGATGAAAAGGAGAAAAAGGACTATTATTTTTATGATCTTCTGGATCATGCTAGAGCTTTAGGTAAAGGCCCTAGTAGGGATGGTGTTAAGCTTAAGGGAAAGCATAAAGCCCTTGGTTACTACCTGGATAAGTATCATCGTCCTAGAGTACCATCTTCTGGTAAAGGCATTTCACAGGTGAAGCATGATGACAGGGACTGTCCAAGAGTATCATCAATGTCTTCTGGAAAAGGCACTTCATTGGTGAAGCATGATGACAAGTACAGTCCTAGAGTATCATCAATGTCTTCTGGAAAAGGCACTTCACTGGTGAAGCATGATGACAAGTACAATCCTAGAGTATCATCAAGCCCCTCTGAAAGAAGCACTTCGCGGCTCAATGATCACAATGACACTGAAAAATATGTCTGGCCATGGAAAGGCATTGTGGCTAATCTCCCTGTTGAACTCAAAAATGGAAGGTATGTTGGGGATAGTGGAAGCAAGTTACGAGATGAACTTGCCAAAAAAGGTTTTAACCCGTTGAAGGTGATACCTTTGTGGAGTGTTCAAGGCCATTCTGGATTTGCCATTGTAAATTTCAGCAAGGATTATCAGGGATTTGAAAATGCTTTATTTTTTGACAAGGACTTTGAGGTAAATCACCAAGGCAGGCGAGAATGGTACTCAACAAAGGCTGATGCTCGTGGTGACAAACTCTATGGATGGATAGCGAAGGAGAAAGACTATATCTTGAATGATCTGGTTGGGAAGCATCTGCGTGACAATGGAGATCTCAAGACTTTGGCTGACCTTGTTGCCGAAGAACAAAGGAAGGGAAACTGCCTAGTTTCAAACCTGAGTCAGACCAAGGAAGTGAAGGATAAGCAGGAAAAAGAAATAAAGAAAAAGCTCAATGAGACATGTGCTGCTTTAGAAAAGGTAATTGAGGAAACAGATAAAATGACCCACGCTTACAATGAAGGTATGTATATGAACATCTATGCATAATCTGTTTCAATTGTAATTCTGATTTCTGTTCTTTTAGTTTTGCAAATGCAGGGTAATGTATTCTTTTCCATGTTTTTTGTGTTGGAAGTTTAAAAGCAATCTCATGTTTCTTTCTTTTCTTGGGCAGAGATGGAGAGGATGAGAAACCGGACAGTTAAGGATAAGGAGAAGATACTGCATGACCATGGGAACTTTAAGCGCAACCTAAAATTTCAGAAGGATAAGCTGGAGAAACATGAAATATTGTTGGAGAAACGTGAAACTGATTATGACAACAAAATAATCAAGCTTCGACACCAGAGGAAAATGGTACTGTCTACTCTTTTGAGCTTTAAGCTGGTTATTACATCAGAATTAGTTATAGCAATTGAATTCTGAACCTGTTTACTGACCACTGAGCTCTAATATATAATTATTGAATATTTAAATGTGGTTTCTTCCTGAATTACTACCTTTGAAGCATGTTTTTGGCTTTCTGTTGCTATAAGAGATTAGTTTTCCTTGGTTTCAGAATGAGTTAGCAACACAGGAACAACATCGGTCAGAACAGAAAGTACTAAAGCTTGTTGAGGAGCATGAGGTAAAGTCAGAATAAATACATCAATCTTGTGATGAATACATACTGTGCTGATCTGCCTTATACACATACACTGATTTCCAGAGGGAAAAGGAGGCGCTCCACAAGAAAATCATTGATCTGGAAAAACAGACTGATCAGAGGCAAGCATTAGAGTTGGAGATAGAACAATTGAAAGGAGCTGCTCAAGTTATGGAACATATGGGAAGGGATTCTGAAACCAAGAAAAAAATGGAAGAAATCAATGAAGACCTGAAAGACAAGGAAGAAGAACTGGAGTGTTTAGACGCTCTACATCAGACCCTGATAGTTAAGGAGAGGAACTGCAATGATGAGTTGCAGGATGCACGCAAGGAATTGATAACTGTAAGTGTATAATTCTTTTGACTATCATATAGTGAGTCTGTGCTTGTGTTAGTGCTTAAAGCTTGAAATTCTATATTTATTGTAGGGGTTGAAGGAGAGGAAAGCTGTCCGTGCTAACATTGGTGTAAAAGCAATGGGTTGTCTTGATAAAAAAGTTTTTGAAAGTGTTGCCAAAGAGAAGTACTCCAAAGAAGAAGCACCAGCCAAAGCCAACGAACTCTATGATTTGTGCATAGAGTATATTGGAGATCATGACTGGCATCCTTTCAAATTTATTACTGAGTGTGGAAAACCCAAGGTATTTGTTGTATACTTTTGTCTAATATTTTTATTTTTGGTCTTGTTGCATAGTCTATGGATTATTTTTTAAGATTGGGGTGGAATTTTCACATGTTTCAATTGTTGGGTTTTTGCTTACTGGTATAATATGTTGTGGTTGGAAGTAACTTAGAACCATGAAGAACACATTATTGGGGTCGGAAGTGCAGTCTTATGTCTACATCCTTTTTTATGTGTCCTTAAAGAAACAGAAAGGGCTATGGAAGATTGAGATTGATTTCAGGTACTGGAGTAACTGTCCTAAGCATTATAGAACATAGATTACATTAGTTGATAAGTTAGTATCAGCAAATCTATTAGTTCCTTGAAAAACTAGTAGCTCTCAATTTAGCAAGATTCAAGTTGTATGACTATATATTCACCAAAACAAAAGGTTGTATGACATATACTTGGTGCTGACTGAAGCCCCCTAATGGTAGTCATAACATATCAAAATGATAGTAATAATGGCTATTTGTATAATAATACAACGGTTTATTCAAGGTTAATTACATGCTTTTCCATTTTTAATGCTGCCATGTTATTACCTTTTACTAAGTACATGTCCATTGTCTGCCTACTTAGGAAGTAATAAACGAAGAAGATGAGAGATTAATTATGTTGAGGAATGAACACGGAGAGAAGGTTTGGCAGGCTGTTACCACTGCAATGAGCGAGCTTAATGAATACAATCCTAGTGGTCGATATCAAGTACCCGAGCTTTGGAACATGAAGGATGACAGAAAGGCAACATTGGGAGAAGTTACAGAGTACGTGGTGAACCTTTGGAGATCACACAAGAAGAAAAAATAGCTGAATTTCTGTATGTCAACTTGTCAAGGATAACTTTTTTTGAGCTAACTTAACAACATTACCAAAGCAGTACATAAACTAAAACACATAATATCTCATCTAAGGTGGTATTAACTGGTTTAGTAAGATACACTTGACTCTGAAAATCTGAAGTTGACATTATTGTGAAAAGGCGTTATGCTTATGTAATTAAGCCTTTACTCCTCTGTTTTGCAAATTCTAAATTTCTAATTAGCATTACAGATTTTGAGTTGTGATCTCTGGCAAGGGGGCAATTTGCCTTGAGCCCAACCGGCCCATGGTATTAGGCCCAATATCATCTTAACTCAGGAACTTCAGTTCCTTCCCTGCAGCCCAGACTAGCTTATCTGGGCCGGAAGGACAAGCCTTGGTCTCCTCGTCTAGAACGGCCCATTGGGCCCAATCTTATTAATTGGACATGCTAGACAAAGACTAGTAGAGGTTTTGACATTAATTTATTCTTTAATTAAACTTTGGTGGTGAAATTATCAGCAAAAGAAGGTGAATTTTTTTGGTAAGATAGAGGTAGAAGATTGTTGAGGGCATCCAATGTGTTGATACCTTTTTCTCTTCTTCTTTTTTTTTTTTTTTTTTTTTTTTTTTTTTTTTTTTTGTCAATTTTATTGGTTTGTGGAATCCAAAGAATTGAAGCTACCAAAAGAGTGTGGAAAACAGCTTCTCATAACCAAACACCATGGTTACAAAATTATTGCTTTGAACCCCACCTCCCATGTGCTTGTTTTGGGTAATAGAAATTTCTCCAATTCAATTTTCCTTTGGACTTGACATTGCTTACCAAGTCATCATAAAAAAATTTCAAACCTGGTCCAGTAATTCTTCATTACTCTTTCCATTCCTTAATAGAGTTTTTCTTAATTGATTTGTATATTCTTGATCGTTTACTATAATAAGGCCTGTACAAAGTCGTGTACGTGGTCTGAAAAAATCGTGAATACGGGTGGAGAGAAAAATAGAAAGCACTTAGGTACTGATCAATCTATATGAGGCAGAGGGACTAACTTTTTTCACTAATGAGATCGACTTTTTTGTTGCTTACAATTCAAACAAGCTACTCCTATAATCCTATATTATATAAACTCCTTTTCCTGGCTTGCAAATGCATCAATTGCCATTTTTGTTGAAGGAGAAAAATATTGTCTAACTACCATGTTGAGGAACGAGTCTTGTGCTATATACTTACTATTTCTAAAAAGGTTAGATTGGAATATCCTTATAACTGTTCAATCTTCCTTTGCAAATTGATGATAAGTTTCCCATTTTCTGAACAAAAGAAAGTGTAAGTGATTGAGCTTTCTCCGTCGGCCAAATTAGTGCTGCCTATCTATACTTTTTGCAATTTGGAAATTTCATAACCGACTCTTCACTATTTAGGAAATGTATGCACTTTCTTCATGTCAAATTAATGATCAATCAGAAAATGTCTAAAAAGGTTGTTATGATTTCTTTTATAAATACAAAGTAGTTGTTTAAAATATTTTTTTCTGATGTAAAATAAGTTTACACAAAAGTGGTCTTATAATATGTCCATCTCACTAATAAAAGTTCACATATTTAACATTATTTGTAAAATTAGTTAACACGACATGATAAATGATCTTTATAAATAAGTTTACACAAAAGTGGTATTACATTGTTGATAAAAAATGACTGATAGATTATAAAACATATTTTTGAGCCTCAACTATGAGCTTAAACTTTTGTTTGAAATGGTCCTTCAAGGATATTCACCAAATTTTCGCTTATCTAAACTTATTAAAACTTATTTTAGTTGTAATTTGAAATTAGGTAACCCTTATTAGAACTTATGTTTCTTGAAGTGAACTTATTTTTCCTGATCTGAACTTAGCTGAACTTATTAAACCTAAAATAAGTGAAAATAAGGTGAATCGAACAAACCCTAACAATGACCTTTTGTTCTTAGGAAAAATTTTAAATGTCTCGTACACTGCCTTTATAAATGAGTATACACAAAAGTAAGATGAAGTATGTAATGTGTAACTCAAGCTCATATTATATTCCTACACCCAAATTATATTCCAATCTTATGTAACAAACATGAAGATTGTCCATTCAGTATGATTCCATTCACAACCCATATTCCCACGAATCTAACCTAAATGACTAACATTCACGAAATTAACTATCGATACCAATTCGACAAAGTTTCTCAAAATTAATGCGTCTTGTCAAATTATAATACCAAGTAGAGCCAAAATATGCTCTTGGCCTTTCATCAACATAAACAAAAAACTAGTACTGTACGAAGAAATGAAAGAACAAATAAAGAGCAACAATATAAAGGCAAACAAAGTTCATTCCATTGAACCAAAAGCCCAAGAGTTACAATAACATAAGGTTTAAAAACCATATTACACTCCACTAAAACTATATATTATCATAAGTAATATTCATATACCATTTTCCTTCCATCTTAATAATATAATTAGAACATCATTAGGCTGCGGGCTACACCTTTCTGCAGTCGCTTCAGCCTTTTTTCTTTCACCTTTCCCTCTATACCCTCTTCCCTTTTTCAAAATTACACTTTCCCACGCTTTCCATTTCCCTTCAAACCCAAAACTTTAAACCCCAAAATTAAAACCAAAAAAAAAAAAAAAAAAAAAAAAAAGCTTCAAATTGACAAATTCACCCCCCTCCCTCCGAAACCTACATTGAGAAAAGTCTTTTTAAAAACCCAAATTTTCTCATTCTTCTCTTTTTATCCCCACTTACCTCAATTTCGAGGTCGGGATTAAAAAAAAGAAAAAAACCATTAAAATAAGGTTTTCTTAAACGATAAGATAAAACAAAATAAAAACTAAACTAAGCCGGAAAATTCGAAACTTTCTTCTTTTGTTGTTAAAGGGGTAAAATTATTTTAAACCCTGAAATTTTTGCCGGTAAAAGTTTGCCCAAATTGCCAATGAGCGGGAGCAATGTTCCAAGAAGTGGAAGATCTCCTGTCACTGGCTACAACCCTAAAGGAGAGTGACTGTCCAACCAAAACCGAGTTCGATTGCCAGTTTTGACCCCAGTTACGGCTCATTGGCATCCAGTTAGTCCTTGATCCTTTAACATAAGTCCTCACAATATCCCCTGCACCAGCAACATTGGTGATCAAAACCAAGTTGAAGTAACGGAACCCGTTAATAGTGAACCTGATTCCTCCACGCTTACGGCATGGTACCCTGCATTAAAATAAAAATGACACCGGTCATTACAAGGGCATTTTAGATATTTTAGGTACGAAAAACGGTGTGTGAATGTAATGAAATCAGGTCCGTTAAATTGGTGGGAGTATTGAAGACTGTGCATGGGAACATGCGAGTGGAAGACCGCACCCTAATAAATCTCTCCTGAAATTGTGGAAAATGGTGTGGGTAATTGGGTTTTGTTTCACATTGGATCCGGATTTTAATCCGGTTAAAGTTTTGGCCCATTAGTCTGGAGTTTGGGTACAGTAGTACTACTTTAATATGACTTTTTAGTCTTCTAGGAAATCATAAAGCTGCTAAATTTTCACATGCTTTTGACATACTTATTCAACAATTCTAGCTCAGCAATTTGACACTAGTGAATTTCATCGAGATTCCACTCATGCATTGTTTGAATGATAGAAGAATACTCAGTATTAGTTAATCGTTAACATTTCCAAGAACAAAATAATGCCAAATTATTGATCTATACACTTGAACACATACAACAATCAAATCTTTTCGGGGAGAAGTAGTGATTGCACAAAGAGATTATAATGAAAAATGCAAAAAAGACCAACGTTGCATATAATATACGGTACAGTAGTATACTCTGCTTCTAAAATTAAAAAATGTTCCTATCAAGATATTTTTAAGGCACAAAACCTAACACTTTTAAGTATTACCTACAGTACAAATAACGACACATTTTTAGTCCCACCTTTTTTTTTTACTTTCTTTAAGCACTCTACTGAAGTCTAAGCCAATTAACACTTGTTACAAACCATACTAGTCACTACCCACTATACTCACCTTTATACACTCTCTGTCAACCTTTTTAAAAATTATCATATCTTCCTAAATCCTAATTACTTAATTAATTTTTAATCGAAATAATTAGGACTAAAAGAACTACGTTCCAAACCAAAAAGTCACAATTCCGTACTCCGTTGTTTACTTGACAACACAAGATAAAACTAACACTCCACGAAGGTTAGACGTAGACCATTACTAGAATTAATTACGAAAATGACCCGTAACCGTCTTAGAGCATCCACAATGGTAATTTATCCTCGCATTTATTCTCATTCCTTTTAAAAACTCTCAACTCAACCGTCAATTTGTTCCATAATTTCTAAATTAACAACAAATTGTCATTCAATTTTTTCAGCCTAACCAAAAAAAAAAAAAAAGTAAAATACCCCTTCCAAGGAATAAAAATACCAAGCATTAAATACATTTTCTAAAATGGAACAAGTTTAGAAATGCACAACGAAATCACGCGTCAATAAGTAACATCAAGGGCTACATTTATCATTCTCCACACAAAAAAACAAGAGAAGAGAGAGAAAAGGAAGGCAAACCTGCGGTAAGAGACAGGAACAATGCCGGCGCGGTATTGAGCCAGCTTAAGGAACATGGGCATAGCGAGGTCAAAGTGAGGGCGAGGAGGGTTACACCAGCCACCGTTGTCGCTAGCTTGGGCGAAGTTAGGCGGGCAGAAATTAGTAGCAGTGACGAGGATAGATGGGCTTCCGGGGTGGCACCAGCTAGGGTCATCGGCGCACTTGATTTCAAAGCAGGCTCCGCAACTGAGACCGTTGTTGAACAACGCTGTGCTTAGTGCTGCTGTGTTCACACCGTAACCTTGGCTATACAAGTTCCCATAACCACATGCTCCCCCTATTAAACATCAACAAAATTTATTACAAAAGGGTATTTTTGGTATTTTTAAAAATGACTAAAATGCCCTTGAGGGCACCCACATTTTGGATTAGAAAAAGTGGGTAACTATTTTAAAAAGTTAAGCATGTTTAAGGAGGTACATTATGGTTAAGTTTGTTACTAATCACATTGTTAAGGTATAGTTAGAAAATGGGGGGAGGAAAAGACGAACATACCCATGGTGCCAGAAGCATCAGCACCACCATAGAAAGTAGCATGAGCAGTTTGCCAAGAGCCACCTTGGTAATTTCCAGGAATTCTAGCATCAACCAACGTTAATGAAACCCATAATGCAATTACTGAAATTATGTTAATAATGTTACTAAACATTGCCATTTTTCTTTCTTTCTCCCACTCGTTTTGTTTTTGTTTTTTTAGAGAGAGAAAATTTGAGAGAGGAGAGAGAAAGAGGTGTTGTGTTGTTAGTGGGGAGTGACTGAGTTGTAGAATGGAAAGAAGGCAGGAAGGTTCAGGTACTTATGGAGGGAAGGGGTTCAGGGTATTAGGGGTATTTTCGACTTTTCAGGTGTATTAAAAAAAAAGGAGAAAATGGAGGTGAAATGAGTATAATGTGGAAGGGAGGTAGGGATTGTGTGCACTCGCATTGAATGCGCGTTAAAAAGAGTCTCTAATTAGGACAGATTGAAATTAATTACCCAATCTTGGTGGGGTTGTATTGTTTGATACTTCTCTCTCTTACTCTCTTTTATTTTTTCATACGACATATTTCATGTTCTATCTTACTTCCATTGCGGTCCCATGTGATCGTATTATGTCATTTATTCACCACATAATTTGGGAAATAGGTTTTCCTTAATTTACTGTACAAATCATCAAATGTATATTTGGATAATTGGATATTGTAGTATTAACTAGTAACCAAGCTATATTTAGAATGTATTATAAGCTGTAAAGATGGCATTGGATTAGGTCGATCGAATTGAAGATTTTTATACATTTTACATTATGTCTGTGCTTTAGCCACCTTATTTAAATAAAACACAAGTTACACAACATAACAACATTGGCAGATAAAGAATGGAATGCAAAATGAACGGAAAATGGGACACGATGTACAACATGGGCCCACGCGTGGGTTAGGAGCATGCATGTGTGGGTTACTTGTTTGAAAATGTGACACAACACATGTATCTAGTGAGTTTTTGATCAATTCCAAGAAACACGACACAACTCATAACCATATTGTAAATTAAACCCAATATACTCGAAAACAATCGAAAAATATATTTAGGAAATGATTTTAGGGGATATAACTTAATATGAGGGGATATAACTTAATATGAAAAATTCATCATTAGGTTAAGTTTTGTTACTATTTGCGTGGACAATTACCTTGGAAAATCATATTTTTAGTTAGGAAGACAAATTGGTTGCTTTGGAACAAGGCATTATACATGTGGTGAGGTGGGGGATCCATGAGTATGAGTAGGGAGCACCAAAAAATAATCACTTGCACTCTTTGATGCATGCTACTTTTTGTCTTATGTTATGAACCTAAACTTTTTTCATACGTATTCAATCCCTAAATATTTCATAGTCCATTTGTTCAGAAAAAAAAATTCATAGTCCAAATATTTAAAAAAAAGAAGAAAAGAAAAGAAAAGGTGGAAATTTCGTACAAAAAGGGTAACAATATATTTTCGTAGGGTAGTTGGACATAAATGCCCTTAGAAGGTCCTCGAACTAGGACAGAAAAGGAGGGGTATTTACGCACAAAAAGATAAAAAGGAGAGTTAAATATAGCGTGAATCTGAAGTAGAGACGGAATCAACGGCTGAGATTGAAGGAGGTGGTTGCGGGCCAATTGTAGTGGGCTGAAGTTTGGGCTTAAAGCGGCAACGAAGTGAAGTAGGTCTGTTTGATGAGCAAGAGAATCCAACAACAAAGTAACACAAGGTGTAAAAGGGACCCGTTAATCTCCGCAATTATCGGTTGAATAATCTGCGACGAGACCATGCAAAAAGAAAACTACTATTGGCTCATTTTTTGTTTTTATTTTTATTTAATTTTTTGTTTTTGGTAGACAGCTATTGGATTGGGTATTTCTTTTTTTTTTTTACTAGTTTTCCCGCTCAATTTACTCGTCTCGAGCTACACACCCTTTTTTGCCTAGTTTTACCTATTTACTAGTTTCCCGCTCAATAATCTTATTTGTTTGAAACTTTTATAACTTAAAATGATACTATAGCACATTTATATACTCATTTTTATATGTTATATTTGGGTGTTTCTATCATATTTTCTCTATATATTTAATCTTTTAGAGTTATATTTTTTTATATTTCGATGTTGCTCTCCTCGTGCTCTCTTTCTTTGTTTTGTAGGATTTATGCCTAGAAAAGCACATTTGCAAGCTAAGTTGAGCTAGGAGCGTGTAGAAGATTATGAGTTAAACATCATATGATCACATTCTAAGCTTGAAGTTGCATTTAAATGAGTATTGTGTGGAAATTGCTTAACCTTCGCCTGGTCGTGGCTTGTTGCATTAAGCCTTGGATTGGTCGTGGCTCCTCCGTTTATGCTCAAGAGAAGCCTACCAAGATCAGTAGACACCACGGGTTGGCCGTGGCAAAACCCGAGCAGCTTTGGGTAACCCGTGGCTATCACCTGACAGAGCATTGAAGTCAAGTTCGAGGGGGTTTAGAATCCCTATTTTAGGAAACTTCTTTACTTATTCCTAGGGATATAATTAAATAGGCTTTTGTGAGGCATATTAGATACTTTTTTCAGAGTCGTTGATTTGAGTTAAAGAATTCTATAATTCCCTTTAATTCTAGATTTACTTTGTTTAAGATTTCATCTTCAATTCCATTCATTCAAGTATTTCTTCTTTTCTATATTATTTCTTTTGATTATTTTGTTAATTTAATTATGAGTGAGTAGATTTATATTCTAGGGTTAGGTTGAACCCTAGTTATGAGTAATGCATGATTCTCCCCCAATTCCCTATTTAATTAGATTAATTGCTTTGCTTATTGAATTGTGCGAATATATCAATGTTAGGTTAGACGTAATTTGATATTGATTGAACAAAGTATCTTATCTATCAATGGAAGTTGAGATTAGATGGTTTTGATTAAATTCAATGAGGGCATGAAATTCTCCATGGAAATAGGTAGGATGGATTGTGAGGATTATATGGATGTTGAGTTTAATGTCTCTAAGATACCATGGAAATAGGTTTGATTGGATTTTAGAGAAGCCATAAATACTCGGAAGAGGTTTTTTGGTATTTTCAAGGGCACGTCCTTCCTTCAAGTATTATTAATTTGATTAATTGGGGTTAGGATTTATCTTTGCGTTATTCATGCTAGTGGTGATACTTAAGACTGGATGTTTTTATTAATTGATTTATTTCATCTTGATTCTTCTTGTTTACATTATTTAGAATTAGATTAGTTGAATGTTATTATTGATTGGTTACTTGCTTAGTATAAGCTTGAGTCAATTTAATTGATTACTCATTAGTCTTTTAGGATCCGACCCTTACTTGCCCGTCTACAAAGTAGGAGGAATAGTTCGGTTATTTTTGCTAGGTACGCGACACGCCTATCAAATACGTACTAGATGATTGCAACAAAGAGTATGATTATACAATTCGTTGATAAGAATTACTACTTGTATTATTGTAGATGTGTATTTCAGCTTTTTTAAATGATAGCCGAGTGACTTTTAATATTGATGATAGACATTTTAAACACATTGAATGCCATGCATATTAAGGGTGATCTCAACATTATCTAAGTCGAATTCCACCTCTTTGGTTTGTGGTGTTGTTTGAGGTCTATCGACATCATCTATGTGAATATGATGGTTGGTTACAAGCAAATGACTGCTAATCTATCATGTGACATCCAATCACCGATTACATATTCATATAATGATATAATGTAAAATATTATCATCATGTTTTAGGATGTTCAAATAGACTTGTAAAGATGCCTAATTTTTAAGTTTTTAGGATATTGTATTAATTGTATCAAGTAACCCAAATTTAGGGTTGTTTTCCAAATCAACCTAGAAATATTGAAAATTCTCATAACAACCCTAAGGTGATAGAAACCCTTTCCAAACAAATTTAATATCATCAAATTGCAATATGGTTTAAGAATAATACTAATTGGTGTAGATGTGATACTGTCATAAATGTTGTAAGTGATGTTTTTGAATATATATTTTCCATTAATTAACATAAATATAATTGCGTAGAAAACTCTCCATCCCTAATTACAACAATTATTATAAGACTTCACACAATCAAATTAAATGACAAGGTTGGCTTTAAGAAAATTATCAACTCTAAGAAAATTAACTTTAAGAACACATGTAAGTAACTACATAGCCAATAATTTAACATAGGGTCAATACAAAACTAAATTTGCTCGAGATAAAGAGTAAATTACATACTTTAATACGTAGCATTACATTACAATGTTACCATGCATATTGTTTAAAAATAAATAATTAATCACAAATCATTTGAACAATTTCACCATATAATAAATTAGGCCAATTTTTTTTCCTTTCTTGTTAATTTACTGGTTGTTGGGGGGTGGAAGGATTATGTTTGATTATATGCGTGCTTCATGCTTCAATCTATTGTCTGGTTCTTTTAGTATAATGGTTATAATCATATTGTTGGGAGTTACCTTTACTCTTTGCGTCTAAAAGAGATTATGCATGCAATTTGCTTTCTCTAACTACAAAAGTTGCTAAATTTGTGGAAGTTTAATTATGCAGTTATACTATAATGATCCATGATTTATGAGTACTTTTGAACGAGATTAAATTATAATATTCACATCTCAAGTTACCTACTTATACTATTCCGTACCTCTATATATTTTACTCTTTGTCCAAAAACCTCAATAATTTTTACTGAGATCGTGGATGATCATTGGCTCATTTAGGACTAATATTTGCCTAACTAGTAATGACTCATGCATCTAACGTGTTTAGACTTTATTTGGACTTCGACTTTCTCCGGGTGTAATAAGTGTGCTCGGCTTTGGCTAATATTTCATTCGTCAATCAATTTTATTATGTTCTTTAATCAGCATATACTATCGGTTGTAATTTCTCAATAACAAACAAATTTATAAGAAATTACCTATTCGAGATTGAGGGACAGAGGAAGTTTATGTATTGCAAGAATTCATCATATTGATATGACTTCTATTTATTAGAGTTCATATGAATTTATGATTTCAGAAAAATCAATTTGACATACTTCTAAACCAGCTCATTTGACCTTTAAACTCATCTTTTATGAACTAAGCTTATTTGAATATTTTAGAACTTATCTTAGTTGTCAATTGAATTTAGGTATCTCTTATATTTATAAACAAAACTTATTAAATCTTATTTTACTGAATTTGTGAAAATAGATTAATAAATAATTTTTAATACAGTCTTACACGCCTAACTTTATTTAAGGTCACATTTACCCTTACAAATTAAAACCTTGTCCATTTGAGCATACGTGAAAACTCTGGTTTTCAAGGGAGGGTTTAGAGAAGGAAACTCACTACAATTAGTAAAATCAA